TCAAATGCCCGTAAAAAGTAGTGTGTCCAGGATTATTCACCAGAGCAGGAACAGTTTGTCAGTATACACCTGGCACAAATCAGTTAAGCATTTTCACCATGGTCCAGGTGATTTTGGCAGTTTGAGCTCCAGTAACATTTTTTCCTTGAAACAATGATGAGGAACATCTCTCACAACATGACTGGAATTGTCACAAATATGACTGAAGTTCATCCTGTCAAATTATCATTATAATTCAAGCTATGTGGAAGCTGAAAAGTTATTCTCTTTGATGACTTGCTAATTAACTAAGTTGACAGATACGAAATCATGGAATTGTGATTTGTACCACAGTAGAAAAGGGTGTCTGACTGGCTGTTTATTCTTGACAAACAGAAATGTTTCTCACTCTCTTTTTTTCTTCTTTATTTTTCTTTTCATAATTTTTAGTAGAAATGGGTTTTATAGCCAGAACACCAGCCACACAATGCAATTTGCAGCAGACAGTGAATAAAAGTTCAGGTAATGTCTTTGCCATGGTCTAATAACTCATATAGGTGTTAATGAGGAGTGAGACGTGACTCGTAAGATCACTAGGTCATTGGGTTCGTGTATTTCACACTCTCTTCCTCAGACTGTCAGTGAGAGTGTGATCCGGTACCACAGTCACCACTGCTCATTACATTGAGTGTCACTGCTCCTTGTTATACCATATAATGGGCATGAATGTAATGTTCATTGTCTCCCCTACACAGCTCCTAGTTTAACTTTCTCTTGCTTTGAGCATCATTGACGGTTTTAGGCTGTTCTACAGTTTTCTGAAGCTCAGTAAAGCACGCACCAGAGTTAAGACAAAACTGCGAAGGACTGAGTTTGAAATTAAATTCTTCAAGTTAGAGTGTCTTCAGAGAGGTGTGTAAGCTACATGTCTAGGCTCTGATTATAGTCTGGAGACATCTAGGGCTCTTCTCAACTGCCTGCACTTCAGTACATTCTGTTGTTCGAGATTCTTGAGGGTGACCAAAACCCCTGCTCAGGGCTGGCAGATGTGACAATGATCCTACAGCAAACCTACAGCAAACCTTTGGAGTGGCAGCTCCAAATAACACCCTTATACCACCTCAGATGACACTGGGCACTTCTGCTTAGGCAGATGAATTGAGCTCCTTTTCATTATAGTCAGGGGAGCAAGGGCAGAGTGATTTGTTTCATCCTACAGCTGGCACCTAGTGGCTGGCCATTCATTGGGACTTCAATTCAGTTGTTGGAAGATGGCTCACCTGCTCTGAGTATCTAAGGTATCCTGCCTTGTTACCAGCTACCAGTCCAGAAGGACACAGCCTCTTTACACAGCTTAAATACCAGGAAGCATTTGCAACAGCACTAGAGAATTACATTTAGAGAATCAACTTTAGCCATGGGAGCCCAAAGACTGTACAAAGAGCTTACCTTGTATGCAGACCGGCACAGAAGTGTCTGAGATGGGAAGTTAGCCTGTAATTGCTGTCACCTAACTAAATCCTCAAATACTAAGCTTTCTACTTAGGAACAAAATTCAACATTTAGGGGCTCTGTAAATATAAGTCTTGAGTACCATCTGAGGGGCCTGGATGCCTGAGATATCAGTACCCAGGATGGCAGGTATAACAGTTGGAGGCCAGGCAGGATACACTCGCAAATCTCAAGTGGCACTAGAGGCTTATTTTTATCCAGGTTACTAGTAATCTTCAGTATCTCTGCTACACTGTTGCCTTACCCAGTTGGTAACTCCCCTTTCTAAATCTATTTCTATACCTAATCCTAAAATTTTTTAACTGCCTCCAGGCACATACATTCACAAGGAAATGTGGGTTACAAGCAAAAGCCCCTTTTTTTGGAGAGTGGCGTCCCCTACTTTTAGATTATGTCACGATAGGGCAATCACAGTGAACATAAAGACCCTGGGAGGAACAATGACAGGCAGAGGAACCCCAGTACCCTAATCAGGGAGAAAGTCACCCCAAAGTGGCTGCCCCTAGGACCACTGAAGGAACAGGATCATCTCATCGTCCCATCAGCCGAGACACCAAAGGAAATCTCTGCCCAGCAGGCTGTGCAGACCAAGGAGATTATTGCCTCCAGGGGTACAGATTCATCATGGGATGTTAATGGCACTGTACAAAACTTATGGGATGTTCTAAAGGAATTGTGGGAATGTGAAACATCCTATGGGCTGCATAGGGGAAGGATCAAAAACAAGGAAAGGGAGGAATCAAGATGGACTGGAAAGGAAAAAGCATGGGGAAAGAGAGAACAAGGAGCTGAAAGGTTGGATGTAAACAGGCTGGTCAGCATACCTGTCTGACCGAGCCCTGTGCTTGGTCACTGCAGTGTACCCTACATTCTGATTAAATCCTCTTTCTAAGTATCTCCTTGATGGAGGCACCCTCTCTTCTGGCCTGGCATATGTGAATGTGAGTGAGGATGGTGAGAGGTCTTGGTGTCTGTGCTGAGGAAATGCTGAGGACCTGCACTTCCCAAGGTCTGGTGGGCAGCTGCCAGGAGAGAGCAGGTCTGAGTGCAGCTCCTGGATACACCAAGGGTATCAGACCAGTTCCTGGAGAGACCTACAGCATGTGTGAGTCTGTCACATCAGAAGCCTTCAATACTGTCAACAGGAGAAAGAGGTCCAGGCTATTGGGGTCTGTTCATGTCTGTGAGTGTGATACTTATTTCTGTGGGTGCTGACAGAGAGAGAGCATTCTCCGTGTGCTGGTTTGTGTGGCCAGCTGTATTGGGGTGTGTGTGGACACAGAGCTGCAGTAACATCCATCAATACCACCAGGACAGAAGAGGCTTGTAGCTCACTAGCTGGCCACCTCTAACAGTTAGATGCCCTGGTGGAGACGTGGTGCTGTAGTTTTATCTCCACCCATGCTGCTTCCTGCAATCCATCAGTCCACACACTGGTGAGAGAGCAACCCACAAGGATACATGCCCATGGTGTGGGTCCCTGCTTGTTGCTCCTCACTCTGTTAGTTTACCAGCTGGATGAAGGCTCATCCTCACCACACTCTAAGTTTCAGACTTTTTCCCTCTGTTACAAAGGATCATGCTTCTTTTATACTTCTTTTCATGCTGATTCTTTATTTCAAAAGCCTCGTTCTATTTCCGTATTTAGTGCTTAATTCAGCTGATGGCTACTTGGCTGCCTTTCTCTTCAACATCATCCTAGTTTTTGGGCAAACATCCTCTCAAGCTGTTTTGGGTATTCCATTCACACACACACTTTTTACACTCACATCGCTATTTTATCAGATATTCTTATCCAGGCCACTTTGCCAAGGCTATGCCTCAGGGGAACCTTCACACTGGGATGCGGAAAGAGCGACCCAGGCAAGATGCAGGCTGGAAACGTGTCTCCTGGCTCTTGAGCCAGTGATGAAACCACTGGAGTAGTTTGTGAGTTATGAGCATTGTATATCTGTTTTGAATACTCTCTTCTTTCCCCCATGTCACTAGGGATTTAGGTCCTCACTCTACAGGAATGCCCTTCATCAGCTTGGCTACACCTAACACCCCTTCAGGCTTTCCTGTCTCCAGCAGAGTGGGGTCAAACATTTGCTATGCCAGTAAGTCAGGTCATACCCGAACATGGAAAATAATAGGAATATAGGAATAGGAATATTAAAAAAAATTACATTTTTTCAGTACACCTTTTACTATTTTTTCTCTGATGTATCTACTCTTTTTATAGTAATATACCACTCAAAGCCAAGTAATACAAATAAGTTAAAAACCTTTTCTTAGCTCAACCAACTTTTAAAATATCCTAATCATATTAGGGTATATATATTAGCTAAAATCAATGAAATTGACTGGATATTTAGCAGAATTGTCACTGGAGTTGTTTTTAATATTGATTTAATTAGACTTTCTAAGTGCTCTGAGGTCTCGATAACATTTTTGTTATTATTTCCTGCAATAAGTCATATAAAATCTTCAAAGACTGGCATGTATTCTAATCCTGTTCTGAAAAATCACTGTTTATTTGCTGCTATACTTAATTGATTTAACCACAAATTTAAATTATAATTAATCACAATTAGAATTTTTTCCAAAAGAGAGTGTTGGAAGGCACTTGCCAAAGGGATATGAGGAGATTATTTTTATCACTTAATCCACCAACAATAACTACAATGGCAATTACCATGTAACAGGCAAATAACACTTATCTGATAAAATATGTGTTGTCTCTAGACTCCTTGGTATTAAGAAAATCCACAGTGTTGAAGAGGATTTAAAAACATTTACCACATAGCATTCAAAACAGGAAGAGCTGCTGTAAAGTCATAAAAAAATTCAGAGCTATGAGATGATCCCACTTGTTTGATTTTTATTATCTATCTCAGAAGGAAAGCTAGATCATCTGCTGGCATAAAGTGTTGCCACTAAATTGACCTTAGCATATACCAGCTGGTGATTTGCCCAATATCTTTTGTCTGTACTATTTAGGACTAGAGAATTTATGGCTCAGTTTTGGACAACTTGAATGAAAGAAAATTATAGCATAACCTTACAATCTCTACTGATTTTTCAAGGAGCTGAGGAAAGGACTAAGTTCTTGGAAAGATAAATTATGAAATTAAATTAAGATGAAACTAAAAGAAAAATGTCCTGAGTCAATCCCTTGTCAATGGTGCTATTGCACACACAGCTGTTTCGTTACTAGTGCTTTCCAGAGACTTAAAATCTCTGCTAACACATTGGAATACAAACATGTGGGCATTTCTCATTCCAGATCACTGAAGTCTGGAGCTGTCCAGGTCTTGCTGGCGATGTGATCACCACCCTGGGAGCTCAAGATGCGTCCTATATCTTTTCTAATATATATATATATATATATATATATATATATATATATATTGCTCAGGAAGGTTGTAAAGTCTTGTTGTGGTTCAACCTGAGCAACTGGCAAGTGGGCATCCCAGTTTCCCCGTCAGAGGGTTGCAGGAGAGAAACTGAAGAAACCTCTTCCGCTCTTATTTCCTTTTCGAGCTGTTACGTCTCTCTTGCTCTCTTTTCTCTTCCTTTCTCTGCCTCCTTCTCAGAAGGGACAGAGGTTGAAGAGAGCCTCTGGTGTTTTCTTTAGTGGCCGGTGCAGAAAAAATGATGACAGGCTGCAGGAGGGAAATCGGCTGGACAGAGCAGGAGGACATGGGCGCCTCTCTCCTTGCCTCCACTGAGGTGGTACTGGAAGCCCAGGCGCCAGAGTTGATGCAGGGAATCCAAGCAGAAAAGTTAAATGGGCTCCTATAAGGACAGAGTCAGAAAGCGCTGATGAGACACGGAGGCGGGAAGAGGCGTGACTTTGTCCCCCATTCTTTGGGAAGTGCAGTGAAAAAGGCACAGGTGTGCCTGGCACGGGAGAGGCAGCTTTGGCCCCTTCTTAACATGTGCCCTCCCCTCAGGGCACGACAAGTGGACGGAGAGGTGCGCTGCTCTGGAGGTAGCGGGTCCAAGAACTCCCAATTGGGAGTCTTGTCTCCATGATGGAGCATCTGCTAAGCCTTGCAGCAGCTGAGCTTCCCCGAGGGACAAGTGAAGAGTGCCAAGGCTGGAGCAGTCTCTCTCCCCTGAGCTCCACCACATTCTCCCAAGGGCAGGTGCCTGCTTCCTCTCTGGGGCCATCTCTGTGCACCGCAGGAAGAGTTCCCATACTCGGAGCAGTCTTCAGCGCTTTGATGGATGCACAGCGGAGCCTGCTATGCACCTGGGTCCCTCCTTCTTCTTACCTGCTTGGATTTCCGAGGCTGCCCGTCCAGGAGACCTCTCTTTCCAACCTTCTGTGCTTTCGCTCTGGTTGCCCGTTACTGCCTTCCTCACAGGCGGGTTTTCTCTTTCGGCTTGCTTGCGAGGAGCCTGGTAACCTTTCCATTCAAGAGTTTTGTTAGACAGGTCAAGCCAGGGCTGAACTGGAGCCAATTCTGCTCTTAAAAGCAAAGCTGGCTCCTTTTACCTTCTCTCCTGGCACGAGGTCTTTGGGTGTTTGGTGTGTGCAGCAACTGGAGGCACCTGCAATGGAAAGGTGGCGGTTAAGAGGTGGCAAGGACCTACCTGCCCAGTTGCTTCCTTTGGCTCTGAAAGGCCCATTCCCTGGATGGGTTTGCTCAGCTCAGCCGAGCCCCTTCTGGTGGGATTTGTGCACCAAGTGCCACGGCCGACCCGCATCAGCTGGACTCTGCACCTTTGCAGAGCTGCAGGCTGCCGGATGACCTTGCTTGTTCCTGCGGTGGCAGCAGTGCCACTTTCTGAGGGGGGAGGCTTTGGTTGTCATGCTGTTTGTGGCCCTGACATACCTCTGCTGCTTCTGCTTCCAGCTGCAGCGCTGGTGATCCGTCACCCGGGGCCCTGGCAAGCCCAGGCACCTCCTCCTCCAAGAGTTCCCTCGCGTGCTCAATCAGGAACTCCACCAGCTGGGTCACCTGCACACACAGAGCCATTGCTTTCCCCCTGGGTGGCTGAAAACGGCTCAAACAGCCCCTCCCACTCTGCACCCTTGCTTCTGCCCAGAAAGCTGCAGCTATGCCCAGGGCTGCTCTTCACAGCACCTCTCCCTGTCCCCCAGCGTCTGCTGAAGAACAGAGGCAGCCGCGGAGCAAAGGGCAGCAGAGCTTGGCTGGGCACGGGAGGCTGTAGCCAGCAGGTCAACACAGCCTACCTTCTGCGTCTCCTGCACCAGGACATCCAGGGGGAGCGCGTGCTCCTCAGGTGGGCTGAGGAGGTTTGGCCCCACGCAGATGGCCAGGTTCTGGGCGGTCATCCTGCTGGTGGCCACGTTGCTGCTGATGGTATGCAGCAGGGCCAGCAAGCGCTTGAAGAGCAGGAGGTTGGCTTTGGGCAACTTGCTGGCCACCCTGAGGGAACAGGCACACAAGGGTCATCAAGGAGACGCTCTCGGCAGAGGTCACGCGGGCTGATCTCACCCAAGCCCAGCCGAGGGAAGGCTCCCTGGCAATGCCTGCTCTCCAGCAGAGGGACTGCCTTTGCTGAGCTACGGCCACCTCCCTCCCTC